TATAAAATCGTTTGGTAGCTGTTGCAACATGCAAGAAAAATGCTAATCCATGATTATTACTCAGGATTCGGCCACCATTTAATCTAGCGTAGATATCAACGTGTCCAAGTCTAGTTTTAGTCATTCCCTGAACACTCGAGGTATGAATCACTTGAACATATTCGGCTAAATCTGGTTTAATTGTGTCTTTGGGAGTTTTAGCCAGAAACGGAGGGGTTCTGGATGGATCCAATGCTAAAGTTTTTAAATTATAATAGCTCTCATAATAATGCAAACAAACTGTGCAAAATAATAAATACCTAGTAACATTCTAACTTTTTCGCCTGTTTTACTAAGCAAATATTCGGCAGTTCTGCCAGCGATATGCGCACCAAAACTGAAACCAGTCACATCCACCCGTGACATATGGAGAATATTATCTCCGGCTGAAGATTGAGATTGATATCGTACATTCAACACCAAATCACGCACCATTTTCGCCACATATTCAAGCCGATTTGTTACCACCAATTTATCCAAATGTCCAATTGCTTGACATCCAGTTCTTGGTTTATCTGAATAGCAATACGATACGAAACAAACATTGTTTCCAGATGTAATAAACCATTCTATGGAGAAAATAATAGAATTTTGTTCAAGTAAAAACAAGCAGTCTTTCTATGAGTGAAAAAGTTCAAAAGTAAGAAAAAGAAAAAAGTACCTCTGGCAAACTTAAACAAAAGTCCTAATTGAGAAAAATAAGATTTTTTTTAATGGAAAATAGAAAATCTAGATTAAAAAAAATATATTTTTATTTACCAGATGCTGAAGTAATTTCATTTCCAGCCCCAAGGAAAAACAATGACAGACCTCTGTTATTGTTTAGACTTTTTACCAAATAATCTGGGATAGTGTCATTAACATGTTCCACATAAAATTCACGATGACTGCATAAAAATGTGAGAAAATGGAAATATAAACCAAAGCATGCTCATGAATAATCTACTTATGGTACTTACTTAGCTTTGGCTATACAAGCGAAGGTAATGGGCTCTCCATCGTATTGGAGGTCATCGACGTTGAATTCAGCCTTTGATTTTCCTTTTCTAAGAGATTGGGAAATCGATCTTGAAAGTGATCTAGCAAATGATCTCGGAGTTGATGTTGAGCTTCTGGATATAGGTGATCTGTCATAAGCTGCAATAACATTGCACCCGTTTAGAAATAATGCAGAAAGCACCACGTACACGTTTAAATTTACAATTTTGTCCAAAATTTTCCTCAATTAATTCTTAAAACAGCTTACCGTCGACTCGGTAACGGTGTTGAAGTTTTACTTAAACTACAAACTTGACGCGTATGTTACGCATGTGTCTTTATCAAACATACTCACAGAAAAATTTCCGGATATTTCGAACCC